TGGTCGAACATGGCAGCGTCCCCCGCGGCCGCCCTTGCCTGAGAAGTGCCGCGGCCCTTCTGAGCCGGCAGACGGGCTTCGGGTTCGTCACGTCCATGGATGTCTCTTCTGATCCCTATCTGCCCTACGATGGCGGGGGAGGAGACGGCATTCCGCTCAGGGAGTTGCATAAACGAGGTATGCCGAATTTACGTTTGAGTTACTTGTTTGCATAGCTGGATGTGCAAGACTGCTGTTCAGATTTGAAGCAGAGGTGTAAAGGCTTGTTAATTACTGCGTGGCTTTGTTTTGCCAGCCTGATGCCTTTTATAGGAGGAGAATTCAGTTCTGGCTGGTTCCTGTGCTGTCGGTGATTGTTTTCTCTGTGGGCAGATTAGTCCTGCTTCACATCTATATGTGGCAGTCTTTCCTTTCTCTCTCTCTTTCTCTCTCTCTCTTAAATCAATAAAACCATCTCGTGCACAAAAAAAACAAACTTGTGGTTGTGACTGACCATGACCAAATTGTCAGGAGTTAATTCAGTAGGCTATTTTCATGCCTTTCACTAACTTGAATAGGAACAGTGTTTGTCTAGCTTTGAAGTTTCCGTACGTGCTTTTAGACTTGACTCTTTGTTGACGTCTTTGATAAGTGAAGGGAAAGCTATACAACTGTAATATGTCAGTTAAGCTAATAATTGATGAGCTCTTAAGAAACTGGAGCTTTGTGGTAGGTTCTTTACACTGTTGCTTGCAAGGAAGGAGATTTAAAAAGAAAACAGTGTTATCAATGATCAGGAAAAAAATCCTCTTTTGAGCTTGCCTTTTGTTTCTTACTGCAAATATAAAGCAGAATACGTTCTATAAAGATTTAGTTTTGTACTGAGAGAAGATACAGGAGAAGTAAGTTAAAGTTATGCCTTCAAATTCTGAGGATATAAGTCTTTTTTTTTCTTGGTTGGATTTGATAGTTACACCTTGATGTTTAAAAACAGTAGATGTGGTAGATTCTCACTTTAGTTTTGTTTAAATTGGCTAATCTAAAATTAGAAGGTTATCAACGTTTATGGCTGCTGGTGATGGCATTAGAGAGGAGGTAGGCTGAGAATAAAGATAGATTTACATAAGATGATTTTTTTTTTCTCTCCATGTTAATTTATTCTTTCACTTTTCCTTGTAAACTCTTATTTCTTTAAATAAGTTAATAAAGTCACACTTTTCATTGTGTTCATCAAGCATTTTTGTCTGCATTTTAGTAGTTTACATAAAAGGTTATTTGTTGTCTTTTTATGATTCTTAAAATGTTTTTCAGCATACGTTAAGAATATCAACAAGTTCTAATATGGCTTAGAGTATTTTAAGACAAGCAAATTTTTCTGCGCCCAGATCATTATTATGTAGCAGGTGCTGGATAGTTCTCTAAGTCAGATTTTAGAACCACTTCTGAGAAATCGAGGATGGTATTTTCTTAGAACATTTGCAGGGTGTAAATTGGAGATCTTATCAATGTATTTAAATACCTGAAGGGAAGGTGCAAAGAAGACAGAGCCCGGCTCTTTTCAGTGGTGCCCAGTGACAGGACCAGGCGCAATGGGCACAAACTGAAACATGGGAGGTTCCCTCTGAACATCAGAAAACAGTTTTTTACTGTGAGGGTGACTGAGCACTGGAACGGGTTGCCCAGAGAGGTTGTGAAATCTCCTTCCTTGGAGATGCTCAAAAGCTGTCTGGGCACGGCTGGGCAACTGGCTGTAGGTGTCCCTGCTTGAGTAGGGGGTTTGGACCAGATGACCTCAACCATTCTGTGAGTGTAGTTTTGTAGATAGTTTTAAAGGTGAAAACTGCAAAACAGCCCTATTATTATACTTTCAAACTCTGCAAATTATAGTGAAATGTGATCAGGTGCATATTCCTGGAAATTACCAGATTTTAGTTGATTTTACAATACAAAAAGTAGATATTGGCAGTGCAAAATGGCATCTGGCACATTGGAGTATTGCTATTAAGTATACAGTTTACAAATACTGTAATGAAAACAGTCGAGGGTTTGACTAGGTGTTCCCATTGTGGTGACACCGCTAGGAGCCAGCAAGAGAATTCCCATTTGTGACTTGTCACTTTTTGCAGTTTCATTGAATTCTGTTAGGGCTTGTACTTACTATATTCTAATACCGTATTTCAAAACCAATGTTACTGGTGCTTCTTCGGTTGCTATAGAGAATTTAGATTAAAATAAAAACCCAAACAACAACAAAACTCCAACAGTGTTACCATAATCTCTTGCAAATCTTAATTTGTCAAGTGCATATGACTCATAGGAAAATAGAGTCTCCAGACCAGTTTGTTCCATTTCCTGTCCTGCTGATTTACAATACCACAGTAATCTGTTCTTGTCATCTAGCTATTGAAATAAGGCTTAAAATGCTAGCAGACAAAACCAGAAATTTAACGTAAATTCGTGACGTTTCTTTATTATCTGTGAGTCTAGAAAAGGATACTACCAAGATTTTTTTTCCTCTCATGTAGATTTCAGAGCATTGTAATAACAAGCTAAGATCCTGCTGATTTACAATACCACAGTAATCTGTTCTTGTCATCTAGCTATTGAAATAAGGCTTAAAATGCTAGCAGACAAAACCAGAAATTTAACGTAAATTCGTGACGTTTCTTTATTATCTGTGAGTCTAGAAAAGGATACTACCAAGATTTTTTTTCCTCTCATGTAGATTTCAGAGCATTGTAATAACAAGCTAAGAGAAAATGGATAAAAATATTTTAAAGGAGAAAACAAGCTTAATTGTTAAAGCCTGTGGATTTTTTTTTCCCTTATTCACATACTGACAGCTCTTCTGTCCTGCAGAGTAATGTTCACGTCATGCAAAACTGCTTTGTAACATCAGAGCATTTGTTGCACTAATTGAGTGCAGTGGCTCACCCAAAGTGGCTGTACCTCAGCAATGATGAAATGACTGTTTAAATCATTAGGGGTCCTTGAGGTTTAATTAACGGTCTTTACTAACATTCAGTGAGATGAAATACAAAGTATTATAATACGTTATTATTAAAAGCCTGACCCACTGGTTTGCATTAAGATGATGTTTGGGTTGTTTTTTTTTTTTTCAGTGCAAATAGACTGTGAAACATCAAATGGAAAGATTTTTTAAAATATGTATTTATTAATTGTGTTTATCTTTTAACGTTCATTACTCATCATTATCTCTTCGGAAAAAAATACAGATGTTATGGAATACTTCTTATCAGGAGTTCCTTTAACTTGCTCTGTCCTGAGACTTCTTTTTATGTGGTACTAAATGCATCATTCCAGAGCTCCTTATCCTCCCTGATACACTGAAACAAAACTGCAGGAACACAGTTCACTTCTACTCTCTTCACTGGTAACTAAAAGAGTTAAAAGTACTACTTCTCTCCTCAGAAAGGGTTTTAAAGTCCTGATGTAGGATTGCATGTATCATAAGTAAGTGACATGTACACTTTTCCATAAGGATTTTTTATATAATAAACCATATGCTGGAATATACGTTGTATAAGTAAATTATTTGTGTTGCTCAATTCTTTGCCCTTGGATTTATTTTTGCATCATTGTTGCTAACTGGACCCTTTTGAAAGTTCGAAATTATCTGTATCTTGCTTGTCTTCCAGCCATTCACAGAAATGCTCCCACTCTTTGATTCCCCTCCTCTCTTTTTTTTCCTAAATAAGCATTAATTTCACCATTCTTTAAAAATCTGAAATCTGAGCAACAGCAGTACATGTATAGTGGCCAGGCTACCAGTAGCAAAATTTGAGCTTCAGCAACCACAAGTGTTGTTAATTCCCTTTTATTTGTTACATATACATAAGCACATCTTAGATTTTGGATTTTGGAAGTCCTCAAGTGAAATTAATGAAGTGCTGAACCATTAATAATCTGTGATTGAGACAGTAGCCAGGAGACGTGAAAATTATGTATATAAAGAGCACACCAAATTTACTGATGACTTAGTTTTAGTAAACCTAATTTTTTTCGAGAGACAAAATAACTCACAATTTCATTTATTGTCCACCAATCACCACTGCATGTAGGTGCAACTCCTATTGCTTAGACTATACTATTAACACTAACATTGGGGGAACCTCTCTGCCCCTCCCTCC